CCAGCGACGGCGGGGCAGGCCGTGGCGGGGACGGTGGTGGATGTGGCGCGGGTTGTTGGGCGGAAGGAGGCGGCGCAGCTGGAGGCGTTTGCGCTGGTGCCCGGTAACGACCAGTACGAGAAGTACCTGCGAGAGCTGGAGCAGGTGGAGAGGCAGGAGCAGGCAGCGGAGGAGGAGAGGAGGAGGCAGCAGCAGCGGGAGGAGGGGAAGGACGGGGAGGAGGAGCAACAGAAGAAGAAGAAGAAGCAACAGCAGGAGCAGCAGCAGCAGCAACACCAACCACAACCACAACAACGACAGGACCAACAGGGGCAGGGGAAACAAGGCGGAGGCAAGGGCAAGCAGGGCGGTGGCGGCGACCTTGCTGCTGCCCTCGCCAAAGCCGCCCTATCATCACCAAAGGGCAACGCCCGGGCAGCAGCTGACAGCACAACAGCGCCAGCCTCGTCAGCAACACCAGACGCAACACCAGGCGCAACACCATCGACCACCGGCACGAGCACGGCAGCAAACGTGAGCGGGCCTGTGTTTGAGACGGGCCTGGTGATGGGCGGCGATGCCATGCCATTTGACGACGACGACGACGGCGATGATGACTTTGGTGGCCCGATTCTCGGCGGGAGCGAGATGGTCATGCCGCCCGATGATGGTGGCGACGACGCGCACAGCCACGCAGCGACAAAGCCACCCGCAGCACCGATGGCGGTGGCGGCGGGCAACAAAGTGAGCAGCAGTGAGCAAGCAGCACAGTCAGCCGCCAAACCCAACATGAGCAGCAGCAACAGCAGCAACACCAACACCAACACCAACACCAGCAACACCAGCGCCACGCCAGGAGCAACGGCAGCAAAAGAGAGCGGCGGCAGCAGTAGTGGGGGCAAGGACGATGAGGACGTGCCTGTGATGCACGATGAGGCAGAGGACAAGCTGCTGAGGGGCGCGGATGCGGCGGCGCCACCGCAGCAGCAGTTGGGGGCGGCAGAGGAGCTGGTGCGGGAGTTTCGGCAGGACCTGGCCATGCAGCAGCAGCTCATGCGCAAGCAAAACGCATTCCACGACCACCACGTGCCGGCCCCGCTCACCAGACCCAGATCACACACCCAGCAGGTGCGACTGTGTGTGTGTGTGTGCGTATATGTGTGTGTGTGTGTGTGGTGTGTGTGCGTGCGTGTGTGTGTGTGTGTGTGTGGTGTGTGCGCGCGCGCGTGTGTGTGTGGTGTGTGCGCCCTTAAAGGGGGTGTGTGTGGTGACGCATGGTTGTCTTCCTTTCCTCGCACCCTCCCTCCTCCCCCTTCTTTTTCACCTCCTCCTCATCACCACCACTCCCCTTCCCTGTTCAGCCGTGTGCTGTGCCTGACGATCTGCTGACGGCGTACTGCGCCATGGCGGACGAGGAAGCGAACATCCTGCACCCGGAGCTGGGCACGCTGTGCGCCTTTAGCGTGGCGGCGGTGGCCTGGGCGCTTGGCGAGGACCACTTTGGCCGCATCGCCGACACCGTTGCCGCTCTCCAGCAGTCGCACGACGTATGTGCAGTGGTGCTGGTGTTGCTTGGTGCAGTGGTATTCTTGAAGTGGCAATTTTGTTCGTGTGTCCTCTGTGCATGGGCGTTTGCTGTGCTTGTGGACTGCCACTAGCACACCGGCCCTTCACCACTGTCACTCTGGCCACCAACCCATTCATTGTCTTCACCTCCCCACTCTTCCCCCCCCCGGCACCATGTTTGTTAGTGGAGCGTGAGGAGCACGCTGGCTGCGTGCATCCACGACATTGCGCGGATCGTTGGGCGCGACGCAGCGCAGGAGCACCTCTTCCCGCTCTACGACGAGCTCATGCAGGACTGGACACAGGTAATGCACACACTCACATGCACACACACATGCACACACACACACACGTGCACAACACACATGCACACGCGCACACACACGCACACACATGCACACACATGCACACACACACAGCACATACGCGTGCACAGTGCACGGCCGCTGACGCACGTATCATTCCCACATCCTCCCCACCTCACCACCACCTCACGACTTCATCACCCCCCCCCCCAACCACCACCAACGCAATCCCCATTACCCCTTCTCTTTTTTTTTTTTTTTTTTTTTTTTTTTTTTTTTTTGCACGGCAGGTCCGGGATGCGCTTGTGCCGCACCTCGTGCACTTTTTTGGCGTTCTCTCGGTCGAGCACCGCACCCGCCTCCTCCCGCTGATTCCAGACCTCATCGAGGTGACGGTGCCGGCGTGGCGTGTCGTGGATTGTGGCATGTATTGTGTTGTGTTGAGTTGTGTTGTGCTGTGTCATGGATTGTTTTGTGTCATGGATTGTACTGTGTCAGGTACCGTTGCGCACTTTGTGCATGCGCTTGTGGATCCTTCAGGCATCAGCACCTCGCTTCTCTTTTTTGCTGCCATCGGCTCACCCCCACATTCATTCACCTCTTCCAACCGCAACCACCACCAACGCAACCACCACCCTGACCACTAGTCT